ATAAGTTTAATAGGAAAAAATGAAGAAAAGGGATATAGCATACTTATGCTCAAATCACCATCACCAGGATACTTTGATAATTAAAAGCCTTGAGCATGTTAAAGATCTTTAAATTCATAAAATGGTTACAATATTTATGATATTTATTTTCTAAAAAAGAATATGATTAAGATGTTGATCTTGCTGAACATCAGCTCAAAAAAATATAGAAATCGAACGGGTCGTTCTTGAAGCTACATAATAAAATGAACACGGAGATTCCACAAGCTACAAATTGGAGACAATACATACAAACACACATATATAGAAACATAAAAGGAGAGGAATAGAAAGATACATAATGGAACTCTTCTGCATTCTGAAGAAGATCGTGCTTGTATTTTTTTCTCTCATTTCCCAAGGAATCACTTGGTTAGGCACCAAAATCTAATAAACAAAAACCTAATTTCAATACCCGATGACTAAATATTACAAACGAAAATAATCAAATTATAAAGGCTGATTGGTGACAAAACAAAGCGAACCAAATCAAAAATCGACATAGGCCTAAAAATTAAAAAATAAAAACACATCGATGAACTTGAATAGATGAAAGCCAAAAGTACACTTAATTAGGGATAAAAAACAAATTACAACACACCTATTTTATGCTTCCAAATTACTGAAGCATATGGCACTTATATGCCAGTTTTTGTTTAGGATCTTCACGAGCTTAAATTATAAATGAGTTTAAATTATAGAATTTTGAAGTAAAATATCATTATAACAAAACACTGGACTTTTTATAACATTATGGGTAAATGTTTCAACCAAAAGAATCTATACTATAACAAATAAACGAAATACAACAATGGTACATATATTGGGCCTAGTACTTACTATACATGATTAGTGGGCCTTCGTGATCCATTTGCATGTTTATTGGGACCAATATATTCATTACATGTCTATTGGGTCTTAGTGACCCAACTACATGCTTAATGGGCCTAAATTAGCTTTACATGTTATTGGGCCTTAGTGGCCCATCTACATGCTAATTTAGCGTGGAAAAATTCATCATATGCTTAATGGGCTTTAACGTGTCCATTTGCATACTATCAAGCCTGGAAATAACTTACATGTCTAATGGGCCACATTTGTCTTTTTTCATGTTTGTTGGGCCGTATTTTTTCACATTCAAGTATCATCTGGTGTTTATAAATCTAAATACATATAACATTATACATATTTATGTGACAATAATTGGGATCTAGTGAGACTTGTCGGTCGACACGATTGAGTGTATAGCCGTAGCTTGTAGTTATAATTAGAGTTTCCTGGAGGGAGAGCGAGAGTTTGTGTATAGATCTACACGGGGGTGACTCCCCACACCTGAGTTGTTCGCTACAGTTAGATTAGGCCAGTCTAGGGTGACAAAACCTTGATCAAAACTGGCATTTATGCCAAGACAGGCAAACTAGTCATTACCATGCATGGTTATAACGACTCACATAGATATCCATTACCATCGATACATTATGGGAATCAAAGTGCTTAAATCATAATAATACGAAACAGTTCATACGATAATACAAGAAATACAACACTTTTATAAATAAAAAAATATCGGATTTTCTGGGGAAATACTATTATTTACTACCTTTTACTTACAACAGATACAATACAAGAAAATTTTTGGATCGCTTACTTATACATGTTTTTACAATGGAAATCACACATACATTTATACTTGATCATTACATCATTTTCATATAATTTAAAGAAAATATCGGATGTTCTGGGTTACACAAACAATACAAAATCTTTCAGTCAAACATGCTTATGAACTCATCAACATTATATATGTTGACCATTTTCAAAATAACTTGTATTCTCAGGTAATCGTTAAGTTGAAGAATCTTCAAGAGTATTTTGGGAATTTCTTTTTATAAAATGTCAATCATCATACAATTTATGTTTTGGAATATGTACTGTAAACAGTGCACTTTACGTGAACAATACCAGTTGTACTATGTAATGTTTGGCGATGATTGTGTTATGTTTCATGTATATTCATTGTGATGATATTTCAATTTATAGTCACACGAGCACTCAGACGTTTCCGCCGTCTGGTTCGAGGGTGTGACACATGCTCATCTCACTAGTTAGGGTAATAAATCGTTGCAGTTGAACTTCCAGAGACTCTCCTAGAACATGATTCAATAGGTTAAACTTCTGTTAAATTAAGTCCCGTCTGCTCTGTCTCATGTCCTCATTTCCCTCATAAACCTCAATCAAAGCTTCCCATAAATCCTTGCAGATGTGTATTCCCTAAAGCCTTGAGCAATCTCAGGAGACAACCATAGTAATAGTAGCAAGAGCTCTGTCATGTTCTTCAAGTTTTTCAAAGTCCTCATCTGTGTAGTCCTCTATCTTCTTTTCGATCACAATTTTAGCCTTTTCATCCACTGTTGTAATCTTGACTGGACCTTTGAGAATGCTCCTCTATATCTTAGGATCCTTCATCTTAACGTATTTATCAATTCTGAATTTCCATTCCGGAAATCTATCAGCTGACAAAAGTCGAGGAATACGTGTGGTAGTTCCCATGATAGAGTCCAACTCTTAATGCAATGTGCTTGTAAATTGGGATTCCATTTTAAAGTAATGATTTCGAAAACTTCCAAAAAAATAATTAAGGTTTGACTGTAAACGAGTATGAAAAACCATTAGGCTTAGTGTTGGACCGTAAACTCCAAATTTGACCGTAAACTAAGGCTTTAACCAAAGAGAATCTGTGAACCTTGAAAGTTTGATCGTGAACTCCGTAAATTCCGTATACCCTTGATGCTAATCTTTAAAGAAAAAATCTAAATTTTATCCAGCCTCCTTAAAATTCGTGAATTGGATATATCTGAATTCCGATAAACACGATGAATGCCAAACTCAATTTCACGAAGAACACATAAATAACAAAACAAAAATCTAAGGCTTTAAGATTCTAATTTTTTTTTAAATAGGTCAATAACCCCAAGAACAACTGAAACTGATTCCAAAGACCTTGAATGCGATTGATACCCGTTAAGGCTTTGATACCAATTGTAAGTCCCAAAACAATGAATCTTATGCAATATCAATCAATCTATTTAGCAAATGCGAAATATAAAAGAGATTCAAGCACACGAAAATAGAATTCAATGCACACGATTCTATTGATTAATAAATTTTCTGGTACATTAAACCTTCTGACTTCAGCCGTGAACCAACAATGGGTAAAAACTACTAAGTCACGGCGGAGAACAATATATATATATATATATATATATATATATATATATATATATATATATATATATATATATCAGTACAAGGCCTCAAAAGTCCAACCCATCAAGACCATAAACATCATATAAGTACTAACTGTTCACGATTAAACTAACCGTGAACACATACAGACCCATTAAAGCATTAACAACCTAAGCCCAATAAATAGAGAACAAACTAGACCCACTACGAAATTAAGAGCCCAACATAAACAACAAAAATATAACCCAACATTATGAGAATAATATATTAACTAGGAATAGTAATATTTAATTAATATTTAATCAGAAATTAATTAGAACTAATTTTAGGATTAAAAAATCAATTAAAAGTGCAGGGACTTAATTGTAATAATAGTTGAGCAAGAGGCAATCTAAAACCCTCCGTAGGCTATGGACAATTTTTCTATTGCCTTAGGGTTTCTAGCATAGTCTCTAATGGATAATCAGGAAAATAGATAATTACCCGTTTTAAGATAATCTTGGATTTAGGCTTATCTAGGGTTTCTTGACTACATTATAAATATAGCTGAAACCTTATGATTTTCGGCCACTTGTCCCAAGAGAGATCCAACCGAAAATTGCAACATCCCTCCTCATTCTCAATCATTCTTCTATTGCTAATGTTGGGTGTGAGCCATTAGAGGTGTGACAATTGTGACGCTTGTTCTCAAAATCTCAACAACACTAAGGATTTGGATTGTTATTGCTATACAACAATCAAATGTATGTTTTGTAACCCTAATTGTGCTTTTTTGATTATATTTAGTGTTATAGGGTTTCTACATAGTTGTTCATATCATATGTTCAATTAGAGAAAACACATATTAGTTTTAGGGTTGCATGCACACATATGATTGTTTGTTATGCTTAAAACCCATCATGGTATTCACTTGCTTTTGTCTTGAATAAAATCTAAGGGATTAAGACATAATAGAGTGTTCTTGCAAGCATGATTCTAGTCTTTTTAGAGAGTCAAAACCGAGAGCACCTTACTCTCTACATGGCTGCCAATTTTCGAAGTTTCAAGGCTTCTATTTTCCTCCTTTCTCTTGCATTTTGAAGCCAGACAAAGTCTATTTGTTGTTTCACCTTTGAACATATATTTGGTATATATTTCAAAGGCTTATGAACAATAAACTCAAGTGTAGAGTAGCATGTATTCATGGTTCTACTCTTGCTTTGATGAATATTTTTAGAAAGCTCTTGTTTTAGAGTTTCATCTCATTCTTCATCAACTTCCAACATATCTACAAATACAAATTGTCGATCACATATTCAAACCACTGTGATTTCCTAGTTTCAAACAATAATTATACCATTATGAACTTCCAACAAAACATCTATATTTATAATTATTAATTTTTTTTTATAATTGCTTAATAATTACCTTAAAATTACCTTATAATTTAATTAAAATTATTATTATTGTTATTATTTTCTATATCTACATGTTATAACCCAGTAAAGAATAAATCCAACTTTGATAGATGCATGCTCGACATTTGCATCTTCTTTAGCCCTTTTTCATTGTGTTTGTGTTTGTTGTTAATAATCTCTAAAATAAATGAAAGGAGTGGATGGCATATTTCTGAAACTTGAAGGAACCAAAGTTATAATGCTTTAAGTAGAGGGATCAAACCTAGAAAAGAGGGGAATATGTATTATGTACAACAAAAGACAAACGCCTTTACCGAATTCAAATGTTTAGGTCTCCCTCCTGACAGGCGTTCCCACACGCACACACCTCACCTGAAGGTCCAACAATGGCGAATAACTCCAACACCAACAATGAAAATCTATTTTCTTCATTGATTTGTGATATCAAAACCTACAATGGCGCAGATCCTCTTCTACCATGGCTCCGGTAAGCACAAAACCCTAAATCTATTCTTCCCACTGTTAAATAAAATATCAGAATTGATTGTATAGAATGATCGAATAATCTCGTACAGAGGCATTAAGAAGATGACGGATTTATTACCTCAACAGCTACTCAAACAGAAACTTCCTCGGTTTCTTCAAAAGTGCGCTCAAACTTTCGAAACAGACCTCCGTTACCGCAACGATTTACGCTATCTTCGTGTTTGGATGAAATTGGTAACCCTAGCCATTCACTTTGATTGCATCCTCTTGTTTATTCTAATTCTCGAGATTCTAATCTGTATAGTAAATGTTAGATTTAAGAGAATGTAGAAGCTTACACGCTAATTTGAGCATTGTTTAGAGGCTTCTTCTAACTATACTTATATTATTCCGAAAGATAAATACGTTTTGATTTTTAGATCAAACCTACTGCTGTATGTGTTCAAAGCTGAGGGGGCGTTTGCATTTAGCTTTAATAACTGTAGGATTGAACTTGGTCATAGTGATTATAGTGACTTCAATAATCAGAATGAAGATCAGATAATTATATGATTCAAGTTAGACACATATAGGTGCATATGCGTTTACCCTGAAAATTCACAATTTGATGTTTTATAGATGTGAATGAACACATACGAGTTAACACTTATCAATCCAAGAACAACTTACTCAACAACAAAAATCATCATTTATCACTCAAAATGATTCTCATTCATCTTTTATATTGTTGTCATGTATGTGAAGTTGGATTTTGTTGATGACCCTGGTGCTGTTCTGGAGAACATGAAGGCGAATCACATTGGGAACAGGAGATCACTATTTTACCAGGCCTATGCTCTTTATTATGAGAAATTGAAGAAATTTACTGATGCTGAAAAGATGTATCATTTAGGGGTGCAAAAGTAAGTGATTGTTATATTTGTTACAACTTCAAGTAATTATCTGACTATATGATGAATTAATAATATAACATCTAAATATGTGGCAGTCTTGCAGAGCCACAAGATGAGCTTCAAAAATCATTCGATCAATTTCTTCACAGAATGGAAAGACACAAAAACAAAAAGACTCGGGGGGTAGGTTTAGTGAAGGATAAACCACCTTCAACACAATCAAAGTCCCGACAAGTAGAGGACAAAAAAGTAATTTCACCAAGTTCGGAAGATGAGAAGGGTAAGGTTGGAAATATTGGAAGTGGAGTAGATGAAACGGTTGTGGTAAGATTTACAAAAACTGCAATTGTTGGAAAATCTAAAGCTGAAGATGCACGTCATCATGGTCTTGTGGAACCCACAATCAACACCAAAGAAGCCATGGATGCTATAAATAGCATGTTTCGTGAGCCTTTAGGTCCAGAACCTTTTCAAAACTCCAACTCCAATCCAAAAAAAGATAAAGAAAATGCTGACAGCTTCAAGGTGTTTAATGATAATGACACGGGTCGACCCGTGGAGGAACCATTTCAAATATATTGTGATCATGATGATGATGAAGAGAAAATAGTAGAAGATCAAAAAGACAAATTTGAGGAAAAAGTGAATCCAAATATGACAAAAGGTTCATTCGTTTTTCAAATTCCTAAAGATATTCCTGTAGAATGTCCACAAGAAAAATTCAGAGAAGATACAGTGATGTTGAGGTTTGTGGGGTCCACCATAGCAGATGAGCCAAAGGTGGAAAATGTTTGCCACCATGGTCTAGTGGAGCCCACAGTGAACTTGAAGGAGGCCATGGATGACATTAATGGCATGTTTGGGAAACCTATAGAATTTGTAAGGAAGAGAAGACCAAGAAAGCAGGAGAAAGAGAAACCCTTCGAGGAGAAGAAAACTTCCATCTCATTTTTGATACTTCCAGATGATGATGAAAATGACAAATTTCAAGAAAAGATTTGCAAACCGAGTGGTTCATCTTCAAGAAAAGAAAATGATTTGTTTGAGCAAACTGTTTGCACAAAAGAGGCCATGGATGATATAAACAAGATGTTTGCAATGCCATTAGACTTTTGAACAACTTTGTAATTGTAAGAGCCATTAAACTGTTTCCCTTTCTTTTCTTTCCTCGAAGAAAGTCGTTTAGTTAAACATTACAAATAAGCGCATTAATATCATTAAAGATAGAACGTAACAAAATCAACTCGAATACAACAAAAAGCGAACAACATAATAATCATGAAATCAGTTAATGAAATGAAATTTAAGGAGTGGTTTAGGTTTCAGTTTCAGTTTCAGGGTCGCAATTAGAAGGACGAAAAGCCAAGGGTCCAGATCCATAAACCACAGCTTCATAATCCTTCCCATGTAACACCTTGTTCTCAAATTTCAAAGGCGACCCATTGATGCCATTGTTAACATTCGACAAAAGATTGCATGTTGCAAGAGGAGATGACACAAGCTTCACATGGCAAGCATGAAGAGGATGATCCAACAAATAATGTGTCATTTTGAAATCTTTAAGCTCTGCGTAGAAATACCCTTCTTCATTGGTCGCAAAAGTGTTGTAATAACTGACTCTTTTTTTATGGTTTTTGCAAATGACACTGACTTTGGCTGCCGGAATTGGCTCAGCTCCGGTGAGAGACCATGACCCGAAGTATTTACAGCTCTGACAGTAGACCTTTCCTTCCACCACAACAGTGGCGGTTTTGTCTTGTTTGAGGGGTGTTACCTCATGGGCAGCGGTGGTTGCTGCTAGGAGGGCTAGGATGGAGATGGTGATGATGAATTGATTGTTTGCCATTTTTGTTTTTTGTGGGTCGCGGACTTGAAAAAAAGATTGAAAGCTGTTTATGGGATGAAGATGATGGGAGATTGTGTGTGTTATTTATAGTTTGTTGTGAATGTTACATGATTGATAAAAAAAATAGAAAGTAAAGTTGATTTTGGATTTGGATAGACGTGGTAGCTACTATGCAAATTTATGAACCCATTTTTAAATGAAAATTCTACGTGAAAGCCACTCATTGAAACGAATCTTTTATAAATCAAATCATATTATGTTGATTTTACATATTAAATTTGCAATTTTTCTTTAATAATTTATAGATTGGTATACAGCTTGTGGCCTTGTGTCTATATATAAGTTTACACCTATTTATTTATTTATTTAGTTATAATTTAATTTCATTTTTACATATTTTAGGAGTAATATTACGAATATATTCATCCTGCAATCGTGGTGTTCTAGACTTCTAGGCTATATTGGATATTGTGATGTACTGATGTGCAATTACTGAAGACGTGAATGACGCTTCTTTTACTAATTTACATTATATATTATATGGTTGAATTTGATCAAACCATCGAATCATATTTGATGCTTTATACTTGATTTGTTAAGTAAGGTGTTATTTGCTTGTAAGTTAATTAATATACTTAATAAATTGAGAGTCTTATTGATACATATAGATATAGGATTGTATGTAGTATATCGTTTTCCTTAAAGGCTTAAACAATTATATTTTCTTACCATACCTCTCAATTGTGCCCTCTAAAGAAATATTGTGTTAATTTACTTAAAGAAAATTAAATTTGCATTTTACAATTTACTTTGGACGTATATATTTATACATGCATTTTTTTTTTCATACAACACTTGTCAAGTTGTCATCAAGGGTTTGACAAAATAAACGATTAAGTTTGCTGAACATTAACTGTATATCTAAATATCATTTTTTTTTTAAATTTATTTAATTAATATAAATATATTAGTTAGCTAATAGAAATATATTTCACCTGCTCATGTTATGTATTAACGAGTATTAAAAATATTGGTTGGATTTAGTTTTTTTGGTTAAGGTGGAGATTGTTGGTTAAAACTGTGACAAACATACTATGGTCCACAGATCATTTCTGCCAATAGGGTTAGCTTCTACTTTTGACTATATAGACTAGAACAAATGTATATAGGGTTAAGTTCACATTCCAGTTTTTCAGACTTATCATCAGTTTGACTCTTTATACGTTTGTTACTGTCTATATGATTAAAAGCAGAAGTTGGCATGGACACAACCGAATAAAATCTAAATTTCCACATGGAGCCAAGTAGGGCCAATCTAAACATATTTTGAGGCCCCCACACATACACACACACACAAAAAAAAAAAAAAAAAAAAAAATCTCAAAGATTGTATTCCATAGCCAACGATTAGATTTCCGTAACTCAATTTCCCTCTTTTTATCGCATCGCAACCCCTTCGTTTGAATTTCCTTTTTCCTGAGAATTGGGATTTTTTGAAGCAGGGATTCAACGAATAATAGAAGATGAAGCCTACACGATGATCTCTTCCAAAGTTCAGTTATATATCAATCTGGACCTCGTTTTTGGGCTCCTAGCATGCGTAATCTAATTTTCTTAGTAATTATGACATAAAATAGCTAATAAAAATTATGGGCCCTGAGCCCATCATCTTGGACAGGACCGACAGCATTTTAGAAATTTTGATGTTTAAGGCTCAATTTGACTTAATTAGAAATTTGATAACTAAATACATAAATATTAAACAACTTGTTGTCAATATATATTTAAAAATTAAAATGCTGCGAAGAAGCCAAGTTGGATGTCATGTTGGCATGAAAACTAGTTTCACTCGTTATAACAAAGGTTTATTCAAAAGCATCCAAATACTACATGACGATATCCTCATATCTCACCTCTTCTACGCTGATGATGCGTTGTTTATAGGAGAATGGAGTAAGGAGAATATCAAAAATCTTGCAAGGATACTTAGATGTTTCTAGGCCTCATTAGGACTTAAAGTTAACTTCCATAAATCCCGAGTGTTTGGTATAGGGGTAGACATGTAAGAGATTTCACAACTTCACGCTCCCATTAGGATGCAAACCTACCAAATTGCCATTCACATACCTCGGGGTCCCCATCGGTGCAAGCATGAACCAAAAGACACTGGAAGCCAGTGATTGATCGGTTGCAGGCAAAACTTAGCGCATGGAAAACAAAAACTCTATCACTTGGGGAGAGATTAACTCTCACTAATTCTATTGGGTAGTCTTCCATCTTACTACTTCTACCTCTTTGTTGCACCTAGTGGGGTCATCACTATGTTTGAAAAAATAAGAAGACGTTTCCTTTGTGTGTGTGTGTGTGTGGGGGGGGGGGGGGGTACGGATGAATAGAAAAAAATATATATATATATATATGCTGGGTAGCATGGGAGAAGGTGGTGTCTCCTAAAGAATTTGAAGGACTTGGTTTGGGATCGTTGCGAGCTTGTAACTTATCTTTGATAGTTAAATGGTGGTGATGACTAAAGAAGGGAGAAAACGAGCTGTGTTGTAGAGTCATCAAAGGCATCTATAATTTGTACAATAAACCTTCATAATATATGGCCAAAAAGGCATACATGGGAGTATGGAACAACATGGTAAAAGTCAAGGATATATTAATGAAGAAGGGGATAGACATTACTAGACCTGGCAATAGGTTGGTTTGGAGCGAGTCGACCTTGATCCAAACCCTTTAAACAAATTTCAATATCCAATCCAAACCCGCTCTATAACCCGCAGGGTTTTAAATAATCAAACCCATACCCTTATCCACTGAATCAACAGATACCCAAACTCGCCCCATAATCCGTAGGTTTTTTGAATAATCAAACACATTTTACTTAAATCATAAAATAACATTTATAATAAAATAAATGTTGATTTAGAAAACATATTACGTACTCGAAGACCTTCAATTGAAAATAAAATCATTGCTATAGTAACTTTCGATTGGTTTTTGAACGTCGATTGCATTGATAGAGATTATCAATTGCAAACTTTCTTCTGGTTGATAATGAATTTGTTGATTTATAAATCAAAATTTATGATTTCTTGATAAAATATAAATGAAATGATATCACTAATCTTGGTAGAAGACTGTAAATTTAGAAGTCGAGTCATCGAATCCTATGTAAAAACAGTTTAGTTTTTGGCCTTTTCTCTTTGGGCTTTCAATTGGAATTAAAAATAACCTTTAGGAAGTATAAAGTATATATATATATGTTAAGGTGTTGTGTTTCATTTGGAGGGAGAACCTTGATAGCATTCCAACATTTTAACATTGAATCCACAACATGTCCACAATGCAATTCCAGTGATGAAGATACCAATCATATTTTGTTCCATTGCCCGTAAATTAATAATCCCCAAGTTAACAACATTGGATTTTCAAACAAGAAGAGTGCCACCAACAAACGTGGCCAATGATATAAAATCTCTTCTAGCACTTCCATTTTTTTCGATTATTAATGTAATCATTTGCCGGTTAAAATAAAAAAGTTTGGTTGAGATCACACTGAAACAAAATTTAATGTTTATTATTCTGTTAAACTCAATTAGAGCTTTGGTGACAGTTTTTTCGTCAATACCTTTCATTAACCCGCTATAATATAAATACCATAATTAATCATGAAATCAAATCAAGTTTAGGGAGCGGTTTGTGCGTAGCAATCATTAGGACGAAAAGCCAAAGGTCCAGCAGCATAAATGACTGTTTCAGTATTCCTCCTAAACAGCACCTTGTTCTCAAATCGTAAAGGTGAGCCACCGACGCCATTGTTGACATTCGATATAAGGTTGCAATGGTCAAGAGGAGATGACACCAGTTTCACACGGCAACTTTGAAGAGGATGATCCAATAAATAATGGGACATCCTGAAACCTTTAAGCTCTGCGTAAAAATACCCATCATTATCGGTGGAATATGTTTTGTAGTAACTCAGTCGTCTTTTATAGTTTTTACAAATAACGCTGACTCTGGCTGCCTCAATTGGCTGAGCTCCGGAGAGAGACCATGGTCCGCCGTATTTACATCTCTCGCAATACACTTTTCCTTCCACCACAACGCGGGCTGTGTTAATGTCATCTCTCGGCGGGTAGTCATCTCTCGGGTCATCTCTATATCTGCTGGCTACCTCATGGGTGGTGGTGTTTGCCTTCAAGAAGGCTAACTGGAGGAGGATGAAAATGGTAATGATGATTTGATTGTTTGCCATTTTTGTCTTGTTTCAGAGCGAAGAGAAGAGTATTAGTAATAAAAGTTGTTTGTGGGATGAAGATGACGAGTGATGGTGTGTGGGTTATATAATATATATAAAGGTTTAGAGTAAATTACATAAATGATCCCTTTCGTTTTGGGTAGTTTACAAGTCTCATCCCTTTCTTTTGTTTTTTTTACTCGTATCGACTCCGAAAACTTAATTTGTTGTTATTTTGTCCCTCTTACCTCACCATTTGATTTCTACTGTCAAACCTTGTTAAAATGACATTTTTTTTCTCTTTTTAAACATTTCCTATTACTACTTGTTGTTATAATACTGAGTGACGACGATGATATATATACAAGATTAGTAATTGTATGTCAAGTCTCTAAAGATTGTAGGAGGTGCTAAATGAGCAACGACTATAACTTGGAGGATCGACATACATTGATAGGTTATATATATAGATTTCTCAAATCCATCTATCATATTATCTCGTTTATTTGACTGCGTGTATGAATTAAGCTCATACAATGAAATTATTCAAGAAATATGGCCAAACAAGACAATGCTACAAGCCTGAATAAAGCGCCCGCAACAAAATCGTTCAACAAATATGGTGTAGAAAGATGAATTTGCATA